ATCACTCATATGTATGCAACACAGATGGGCATTTTTACGACTCTGCACCACATTAACTTTCCTTACGGAGAGCAAGTAATACAGACGGAGTTAGAGCAGAGGTCTTGTTCGCAGTGAATTACAATTTCTTGGATTCATTCTTCAATTACTTGCTAATCTTATCAGCTATTCTATACTAATGATGGTAAGTGGTTCTTTATTTTATGTGGTTTATCTGATTCTATTCCGAATTATATGAATGAATGTATTCAGTGAATCCGAACATTAGCTTTACAAATTCTGGAAATTCTGTCATTGCTTTTTACTGAAAGATGTCACAAAATATACTATTATTATTATTATCATTGTTCCCTTGGGTTCCTAGTGGAACATAGGACTTCAACTGCACGTCTCCACTTGCTTCTGTCTTCCTTCTGATGTACTTTTCACCTGCATCCATGTTAGTTAGTCCATACTCCTCCATGTCACCCTTGCACTGATGTCACACTCCCCGCTTCCCTTTCGGCCTGGTTCCACTCGAGGGTGCGATGTCACCCAGCGACCTCCTCAGTGAGTGCCCAATCCATCTCCACTTTCTCCTGCATATTTGTTGGTTGACGATTGGTTCTTGTTTCCTTTCTTCCCAGCCATAGTTTCTTGTTGGTGATTCTTTCCGGCCACGCCATCTGATCTTCAGTATAGATCCAGTGAAGACAGTTGTTGGTTGATAATGGTCTGCAACAGGCTGTTGTAGGAAATATTCTTTGTGACCCGCCCGCCCGCCAAGTTTCTGATCCCTATAGAAGAACTGACTTACTCGACGTTTGTATTGAAAATTCGACTGAATTTTGTTGTTGATGGTGGCTGAGTGACGAAGATTTCCAGATTGGTTGTTTCAGGTTGATGAATGTGTTTCTCGCCTTCCCGATTCTCTCTCGATTTGACATCCTCGTCCGTTCCGACTTCCTGCAGTTGAGACAATGCTCCCTAGATAAGTGAGTGAATGAAGTAACCTCTTTCAAATCCCTCCCGTTGGTGGTTATTGGCGTTGGATGTTGCTGTTGTTGTTGCCCGCTGGTTATTTTCATTGTGAAAACCTTCACAAAATATTCCAGTTAATTATATTGTAATAATTAGTACTATGAAAACAGATCCAGAGACGTCTATGTATGCGCTGACGTCACTATAACAGAAGGTGTGGAAGGAAGGCAGGAAAGGTACCTAGCGAATCGAAGAAGGCTATACCATCAAACTACCAAGGAAGGGTACAATTATGCTGCTATCACCAAAATCCGAATAACAAATCGCACCATCCTGGAGATTCCAAATCTATGTCAGGAACAAGATGGATTCAGTGATAGCAAGTCATGTGCGGACCAAATTGCGACAGAGGACAGAATGGCAGTGGTGGTTATCGACTTAAAAAAGGCCTGCAACAGAGTCGACTTTGAGGTAACCAGGAAACTTCTTCAGCACTATCGAGCACGCGAAACATTTATAAGTTTCACTCAACAGCTTTATGATGATTACACATGTCAAGAGATTCACAAAGAAGAGCTCAGTGAGCCTTCTGTAGTGATGATGTGAGGCCGTCTACTATCATCGATCATATTTTTGATTGTAGTGAACTAGATCATACCTCAGGCTGTGAGGAGCAAGATAACATGAATAGGTCGGCCTGACAGCAAAACTCTATAAAGTCTGAACTTCCTTGATGATCTATATCTAATTTCAACTACAGGCTGCAAGGGTGGCGATGTCAAAAACAGGATCAGAAAAGTAAGACAGATCTCCATGAATCTGAAATCGGTGTGGAAATCTGTTGTGCTTTGAATAAGGAAAATGATTTGAATTTTCAATACGAATGTTCAGTCGGTTAGTGCTTCTATATGGTCCCGGGACATAGAGAGCAAGTTACAGAAAGACATCGACAAAAGTCTGAAGACTTTCCTCAATAGCTGATGTCTCCGTTCCATACTGAAGTTCAGATTATCGACCATTGAGAATTAACAAGAAGGTACTTTGGAAACCAACGAACCAACCAATCGACAACCTGTTGCCCAAGAAATGAGTGAGGAGAAAACTAAGTGTATGTAACACAGACTATGTTGAGATAACCGTTGGGTGATATAACGTTCTAGGCCTTCTAGTTGTGTTATGTACTGGTCGAGAATTTAATAGTCCTGACGCAAGAAAGACGGAAATCAGAAGACCACTAGGTTTGCGATGATACTTCTATTTCCCAAAACACCAGGAGAATCAATGTGTCCCACAAGAGTGTGAGAGCAAACAATATAAGAATGTCCGAACAAGTGTGTGAACACAAGTGTGTGAGCGAATATTCAAAATGAACAAATCAATAGACAGTCTTAACATGATTGGCTAATTATAATGGAATATCGATCCATATATACATAGCAAAATATATCAGACTGTCAAACAAACACACATATTATATGGATACATATCAAGTAGATCACGGAGAGGAAACGACGAGTTGAGCGAAGGTTAAACGGTCACATGAAGGAGATCTTTTGAGGAACAAATATAAGATAATGGGAAATGTTTTTAGCCAGCTAAAACAGACTGCAGAAAACAGGGTGAAATGGAGATGTGCTTCTGAAGACCTCTCTTCAACTCAAAATGCACGTACAGTACAGTGGCCTCCAAAGTCCACAGTGTTTTCATGTATGCCGTAGCACATTTTATAGCCGGTTACGTTTATTTTAGTTCTCCATTATATTAGTCAGTATACAGAAACATTAATTTCAGTAATTCACAGACAATTATTATTCGGTGAATTCATTCACATGGCTGTACAATCACGTTTATATATAATTATTTGTGTGTGTGTGTGTGTACGTGAGGTTTGTCAAGTTTAGATAATTAATCACGCAATACAAGAATGATCTAATGTGGAAACAAGGTTAATTAGACAGCAACTAAAGTAAGATTGAGTTAGAAAGTTACATGACGTGATATAAATGACTAAAATGTTTCAACCTAGGTCAGGATTGCAACAGATGTAATTACAGGAAGAGAATAATGCCATTTAGATTAGGACTAAAATTGAGCGAATAAATTAGATGACATAGTATAAATGTCTAGAAATTGAGCGTTGGTCAAGTCAGTAACCATGTGGTAATGAAGTGTAGAAATTAAATGGGGTGGGAGTAAAGTACAGGAAAGTTGAAAATGTAAAATATTACAGATATAAGCATAAAACTTTGGCGCCGTGGTAGTAGAGTATAACTCCGTTATGGATAAGATTTTATTTTGATAAATCACACAATGTTGTTATACAGTAACATTAACTGATTACCACATTTCGAGCACAAACTATTGCCGCTCATAATCACATCAGGTCTCTCACTCACACAACTTTCTCGCTTCATTTATATACATGAGTGGAATCGATTAGATATTGGAATAAGATTCAATATGAGATAATGTACATTCAGAAATAATAATAATAATGTGAGTGTTATTGGTCAATTACAATCAGATGGGAAATAAGACGAGCGTTTTAATAGTCATAATAAGTTACTTATTAGAGTGTTATGATGTGTTTGAATTGAAATAGAATTTTGAGATTATTTATTATCCTCTTCTGATTTGACCGGCAGTAATGATATCCTCCATATTTCTGGTATTTGCATTGACTCACTACTGTTGCATGTGTCGGGTGTAGACTTGATGAACAAGGATTCCGTAATCAATTGATCAAATAATACAAGAGTTAGTTATCCAATATAGAAACAAGGCTATCTAGACAGCAACTAAAGTAAGATTGTTTGTAGGATTTTCATCATGAGCTGACATTAGTTAGAAAACCATTGGGAAACCTGGGAGTACTGGACAGCTGTGTCGTCCCAGTTAAGGACTCTTCAGCAGTACGCACCCAATCAGGGTTCGAGCCCTTGGCCTTCTGGTTATAAGGCGAGCTCATAGACCATTAAGCCACTGGGAGCCGATTAAATGGCCAGCGCATGAATTCTAACTTCTACCGATGCACGACTTAGCGCAACCACTAGCCAATGTCTTCGGAGAGTATTTGTGCTCACAACAGACCTTCTGCACCCTACTGATCATGACTGCTCACTAGAACCCCAGGTAACTACCTACCTGAACAGGGCCAGACGCTAGTGATTGAACGAACTTCTTCGGTATGCGGAGTTCAGGACTTAGCAAGTGAATTGCCATTGCTTCTGCAGTCTGAGTCGTATGCTACTTAGTCTCCACCTGTAATTACTTCTGTTGCTATCCTAACCTGATATGAAGCATTTTAGTCAATTATATTACGTCATCTAACTTTCTAACTCAATCCTACTTTAGTTGCGGTCTAAATAACCTTGTTTTTACATTAGGTCATTCTTGTATTACCTGAATAGTTATCTAAACTTGACAAACCTCATGTACACACATCGACACAAAAATAATTGGGAATAAATTCGATTGTACAGCTATGTGAATGAATTCGCAGCCGAAAAGAGTCTCTTCACTGAACGTCTCCTCTTTTTCATATGACTCAATGGGGATTTTTAAGCCACAATTATTATTATTATTATTATTTGAACTGTATGGAAAATAGTATATACTCTGTCTAGTGAATTGGAATAAAAGTGAAATTAAGAACACTGATTTTACTATAGATTTTGAAATGAAATAGAAACTCTGACTCTAAAAAGAAGATATCCAAAGGATGCACAACTTAGCACTACATCAATAGATCACTCTGGAAAAAAGGCAACAAACTGATTTAATCATTTAAAATATAGTCAATATTTCACAGCCAAAAATAAGTATATAATGTATACTGGATATGCTCTAAAAGGTTATTGTCTAGTGTGTGTGTGTGTGTGAAAGATATGTCAAGGAAAATGTTAAATAAATAGATAAACAGAGCCGATTTAAGTAGTATCACACCGATATAATGAAGTACGCGGCATCAGTGGAGACTCTTCGTGGAGACAGGCTCTCCAAAACGCGATTTTCCCATTCATGGAGAATATATGTTCCTTTCAGTTGTTGCATGGTTTCTTTGCATAGATAACACTGGCAGACATTACTTTGTTCACATAACGGTATGCATACATTGGTGATAACCTGAAGAATAAACAGAAAATGACTGGTTATAATTGGTTACAGGATTTCATCATGAGCTGATGTCATTAACAGAACCACTGGAAGACCTGGGAGTACTGGACAGCTGTTTCATCAGCCTAATTTGGGACTCTTCAGCAGTACGCAGCCACCTAAGCTCGAACCCTCGACCTTGTCTACAAGGCGAGCTCATAGACTATTAAGCCACTGGGACTCGATCCAATGGCTCATGAATTCTAACTTCTGCCAATTCCCAAACACTAGCCAATGTCTTCGGCGAGTATTTTTCCTCAAACCCGACCCGCTGCACCCTACTGGTCATGACTTCTCACTAGAACCCCAGGTAACTAACTACCTTAATAAGGCAAGTCGCTAGTCAGCATCTCATCAATATTCAAGTGTTGGTTTGTAGGGATTTGATTGGTTACAGGATTTCATCATGAACTGACATTGGTTAGAAAACCATTGGAAAACGTAGAAGGACTAGACAGCTGTTTCGCGCCGATTTGAGACTTTCTATCAGTGCGCATACACAGTTGTTTGGAATTAAGAATTGTCCGATCATCTCGTTGGCTGTAATAATATACAGAGCAAAACACAAGCATAATAATCTTTTTACAAAGCTGTATAATGTGACATATAGAAAGTGGACCCGTTCTTAATGCCGACATGAGACCATGGTGTATTTATGTGTTACGAGATAATATAATCAACAACATCAATGGATGAGATGTAAGAGAGGTTGCTTCTTTTGCTTATTTGAATAGGATCGTATCAAGTACATGCAGCGCGGATCAGAAAAAGGAAGCAGACATTCACAACTCTGAAATCAGTGCAGAAGTCTACTGCACTCAGAAAAGGGCAACAAGATCCCGATTTTTTTAACACTAACGACAAGTTATTCAAAGCTTTCATTTGGCGCATCGCAGAAATCACTTCCAGTAGACTACTGCAGACTTTCATCAACAGATACCCTTTCTGGATACTGAAGTTCAAATAGTTGACCAGAATGGATAAAAAACATGCAGCTCTGGACACGAACCAGCTAACAGCCTGCTGACGAACATATGTACCGAAGGAAATAGAGACAGATCAGATACACGCTACTTTCGAGTAATCGTTGATTGACTTCACGTGCCTTTGAATGGAATCCGAATGGGAAACCAGAAGGTGGGCATTCATCAAAAGGTGACATGGAAGAGACAATGAGAGAAGGAGACGAAAGTCAATAGTCAGTTGCTGAACTAACTGAAACGACTGCAGACTACAGAGTGAAGTGGAGACGTGCCTCTGAAGTCCTATGTTCTACTCGGAATGCAAGAGAATAATACAAAAATTATTTGTGATTCTGTGTTACTCGGTCAGATGTGATAGGTGTGTATTTGCACTCTGTTCGGCTTTGATATTGGATAAAAACATTTCACTCTCAAAGTGAGGTAAAGCATCTATCTGTTTCTAATCGATTGCTAGACGTCGTAAAAAATGTTTCGCTACTACGTAAAACACTCAAATGAATAAACTTAACAGGTTATTCTTTGAAATGACTTCACAAAATTGCTCTGTGATTATAGACCTTGTGCATCAGTAAGTAGTCCAGCGGTATATTGCTCTCTAACGACTCATACCTACCAGGTTCCATTCCCAACCGATTCACTCTGTGAACCTTGCCTAGTTGACTGTCCCGTAATAATCCCAGAAAAGTCTAAAGATTAGGCGTATAGTTGACGATCTAACTCTCTTAAAACAAGGTCACTGCTATCGAAACATCAAAAGCCTACAGACACCTTATTCTACTCTGAATTTAAGGGATGAATAAAACACAGAGAGAGAGAGAGACCTTAATGCATTGTTATCTATAGGACTCGCCTCCTTACGTAAGTGTTAAGAAACCCTTGAATCTACAGTATCATTGGCTGGATAACATAAATTCAGGTTAGTTTAAAGTGAACAAACCACTGATACGTGTTATCCGTTGGGACAGTTTTACGCCACTTTTGATTGGTGTAGACTTTAAGATAAAGCATTATAGAACATCCAAGAATATACACTTAGATCGTCATCCCCACCATCAAATTACTCGACAGTCCATTTGTCTCTTTATTCACTTTATTTCTTTCAAGTCCCTTCAGGTTTAGACTTCAGTGCTGTAATCACAGGGATGAAAAGACTAATTTAGCTATCTATCAACCTTATTTATTTAATTGTACAAACACTTTGTTGAACATTTCTAAATTTAACAACGATAGCTAACAGCTTTGACCCTGAGCTGATACGAGTTATAAAAACATTAGAAAACCATGGATCGATGGATAGTTGTTTCATCCTTGCTTTAGGCTCTTCAACGGTACACACCACCAAGTTTCTAACCCAGGAAGTCTCAGTTACACGACGACCTCATAGACTGTTTAGCCATTGAGATACAATTCACGCATTCCAACTTCTGACAATTTGCAATATTTTTGATTGGAGACTAGTCAGTAACGAGTGTAATGTGTCTAGTCATTTCTTCGGTGGAGACTAAATTCTATCAGTCAAGCTTGCAATGTGGCCACCATGCTAGGTGGCTCGCCATTACAGCGCACTGTGAAGTGTTGTTATCAGATGGTTGGAGGCAGTCAGCAGGAAGCCTTGGACCTAGGTTTCGTGCTAGTTGGCACTCATCAGCACTCAGAAGGGACATGAGTTCCTTCAAGGTTGCAGATACGCCTTGCTGACTGGCGAGTGCCAACTAGCACGAAACCTAGGTCGATTGCCTCCGACCATCTAATACTGACACCTCACAGTGCACCGTAATGGCGAGCCACCTAGCATAGTGACCACATCGCAAGCTTGGCCGATAGAATTCAGTCTCCACCGAAGAAATGACTAGACACATTACACTCGTAACTGACTAGTCTCCAATCAAAAATATCAAAAGAAGTTAGATTTCATAGGTCATTAGATTCTATCCCCCTGGCTGAATGGTCTACGAGCTCTATTCCAGGCTACTTCTCGTCAAAGAAGAAAGCAAACGTGCTACACTGAGTCAACACTAGTTTGAAAATTTATACAGAATTAGAGGGTTATGAGTGACTTATTTCATTTCGATGAAATTAAATCGACAGTTTATCCACTAAGAAGTATTTTCTACCCAGCGAATTGTACATAGCACATTCAAAACAATCGCAATATACTTATTTGTCAACATAAAGTGACCCATATCATGTGTCTTGACCTTAGTATTGGTTCTGATGAAACCTTCCTCCTGGTCAGATTTGCAATATGATCAACATGCCAGGTAACTCACCAAAGTAGTAAGTTTTGAAATTGATATTATACCACTGGAGGCAATTTGCCAGAAGTTCTGGGCCTAGGCTTGTTTAATGCTATTCGTTAACCAGCGGGTAGCTGTGATCCTGAAGTAATTGATACGTCAGTGGAGATATGAATTCAGAAAAGTTACCAGTGAGCTAATCGAACTCACAAATTGGCCTCCCATGAGGACTGTAATTCAAAGTGAAGCAAGATAGGGAATTGCATAGTTTAACTGATCGAAATTAGTCGCGATCAACGATAAGAACCAGACACAGTCGTAAACCAGATCACTAATGAGGCCGAATAGCTCAGTTGCAAAGACTATGACTGGATTACTGAGCTCTGCAAGGGGAAATCAACTCCTTCATCTCTGCGGGTACACCATGCTGACTAAACCTAGGTTCAAGTCATCAGATAGCTGTGAGTAGAATAAGTGACTTCACCGATCAAATCATAGCTTTACTCATACATACCTTCAGATGTATAAACGAGATATGAACAGTTTACTGGAGAGTAAATCCAAACTAGATAACGTTATCTGATAAAACGCATAATATTACAATACTAATTAACTGGATAACATTTGGAGAATAAAATAAGAAGGCATCGTTTACTCTGACATCAATTAGAGAAGCAGCAGAAAACCTAGGGTTACTGTAAAGTTGTTTCGTGCTACTTTGGCACTCTTCAGAGGCACACGTCCATCACAGTTCGAATCCAAAAGCCTTCCAGTCATACAAAGCAAACCAATACTTTGATATATATAATCTGATAAAATGTTTACTTCACAGAGCAAGAGTAATCTACTTGGATGAATGCCTTAATGGAGGGAGAGCTTAATATTTTTAAACGGTTGCTGAGTGAAAACAGTTATCCATACAAATTTACTGATAAGAATATGATTTTAAAATCAAGGCAGCCCAAAATATCTACAGTTCCTGAAAAGGTCTTATTCTTACAAATTCAGTTCCTCGGAGATAACATCAGCGAGATATTAACTCAACGTCTTAGGAGTGAGGTAAAAAAGAGAATTCCCTACTGCTGAATTACGCTGTATCTTCAAAATCACTCCTCTTTTCCGTTCGGGAGTAAAACATAAACAGTTTAATTTCGCTTCTTCCATGTGTATCCACCAATCTAACTGCTGCTACTGTGGAACGAGCCATTTACATACGCCTAACAATTAGGCGTGTTTATCGTCGAATTTCCGAACATCACTCTGCAAAGTGGTTAAGCAAAGGATAAACAAAATCTATCCGGAGTGATATTCTATCTCATTCATCTCGTGGATACAGAACACAAGATTGATGTTAACGAGGGAGGCGGCTTTCACAGTCATCTACCAAATACCAACATATCTTAATTTTGCCTTAAGAGTTCGTCTACTATATATTGCTGAGGCTGGCCGTTGGGATCCACATTAAGAACTCTAATTTATGCGGCGAAAAGAAGCTATTTTAGACAATGTCCTTACTTTGGCCATCTAGGTTTGAATGATCCTCAATTTTTATGGAATTTTCCTGATTTTAGTTAATATTCTATTTGCTATTATATTTTTTATATTATTATTTCACTTTAAGCATCTTCAATGAACTGTGATTCCATTGTGATCTTACTTTACAAATCGATATCATCTGAAAAACACTAATATTGCTAAAGACTGGTATTCCAGAATATTCTATACATAAAATTATATATATAATTGTAGA